CAAAGTGCTCGTGCCCCCTCGGGGCCCTCCTGCGCTTGTCCACCAGACCCTGGTCATCCCGCGCAAGAGGAAGCCTTCGAAACCCTCGATTTCCAAGAAATCGGCTGTGGTGTCCCAGGCAGGCTTAGGGCGGAGACGGCAGAGGAAGTCGGTGCCTGGGGCGCAGGCCCTGCGTGCACAGATGTCCCCTCGTGGGTGGACAGCGCGGGAGAGACGGCAGAAGGCGCCCAGGAGGCGCCCTGGGGCAACAGGGCCAGGCTGCAGAGTGGCTCTTTCCCTCCCGGCTTCCGAGCGCAGCATCCTGACTCGGGAGAGGCCCACGGCTGTGCGGAGGAGCTGGGCGTCGACCCCGATGCCCCCACGGAGGATGAGGAGGGCCACCTGCTGGGCAGCGCCCGGGTCCCCTCCACAGTTGGACCAGGTGCTCCGAGGCAGCCGCTGGGGCAAAGGGTGGGGACCCCCGGCTCCCTTACAGGCGGCAGCGCCCCCTTCCAGGTCCTCAGCCAGGACTGTGCCACCACGGAGGAAGGAGACACCGCAGGACACGCGCCCAGCTGCAGCCAGAGCCCGGGCTCCTCCCTGGCGTGGCTGCTGAAGTCGCCTGCTCTGTCCTGCGGCTCCTGCAACGGGGAGAACTCCTGGTCCTTCCTGGACTCGAGTGGCAGCTCCGTGGCATCCTGGCCAGGGGTGACGCGGCAGGAGGCCTTGGAGGCTCGGACCCTGCAGCCCGCTGAGCTGGAGAAGCTGCTGGCCGGCGTGGGCCGCGGCTGGCTGCTGCAGAGGCTGGAGAAGATGGGCGTGTTCGAGCCCAGCCAGCTTCACAGGGCTCACAGTAAGCACGCGCGTGTGGCCTGGGGGGACTGCTGGGGTCCGCTTGAAGCTCACGAAGTACGCATTAGGCTTTGTGATGTCTGTGAGCTCAGTGAGGAAGGCCCCTCCAGAAGCCTCCCTCTCCCCTGGTGGGAGGGACTTAATAGCTTCAAAGAGGAGAAACTCGCATGTGCTGCCTCCCACAGTGGAGCTTTGCTGGTGGGTGCACCCCTGTGATCCCAGCACTCTGGGAGGAACTGAGGCGGGAGGATCACAAGTTTGAGGCCAGCCTAGGCAACTTAATGAGTTAGTGAGACCCTTTCTCAAGAAAAAGAAAAAAAAATTTTAAGATTTGGAGATGTAGCTCAGCACAAAAGCCCTAGATTCAACCCTTCAGTTAAAAAAGAAAGGAGGAGGGAGGGAGGGAAAAGGCAAGAAGAAAGATAGGAAGACGGGCAAAAAGGGACAGGAGCCCTGGAGGACTTGGGCCCACCATGATGTGGACTTTAAAATAACTCAGGACATCCTATTGTCCACTCTGCGTGTCTGCTTGCTTCTCTGTAGGAACTAGCTGATCTCTCTGCTTGCCTCACTCAGATTCTAGGGGAACAGTCCAGCCTGTGAACCATCACCCTTGTGGGCCTGCCCAACCAGCGGTTTCTTGGCAGTCAGCGAACCCATCAGGTGCCCTCAGCTTAGGCAGCTGGGGTGCTGGGCAGATGACAGGCAGCAGGGTCGGGTTTCTCTGGCTCTGGAGGCTGGGATCCAAGGCCAAGGTGCTGGTGGATTCAGGGTCTAGGGAGGGCTGCCTTCAGCATGTTTCCTGTCCTCAGGGCAGGAGAACCAAAGCCTTCCTGCTTAAGTTCACACCTCAGAGCCTGACCCTCCTCCGAGCTAACACCACTGTCTGTGGGTTAACAGCTCCACACAGGAATCTGAGGCATCTAGTTTCTCTTAAGCTACTAGCAAAATATCAGATTGCTCCTAGTCTGGTGCAGCAGCCTTCAGTCACAACTTCTACCTGTCACACTAATGATTGTGCTCATTTATAGTATGCTGGGAAACTGCAAAAAAAAAAAAAAAATTGATCAGTTAATCAGCTTCCATCATGGCAGTTACAATTCAAGATGGCAGCTGTCAGGTCAAACTGATTCCATACACTGTTCTGTACTGTAACAAAGTGTTACTTTTTTACCTTTTTAACAGTAATCATAGAAGAGGCCAAAATCTGAAAAAATACACTAAAAAATTGGAGATTTCAAAGGAGGTGTTTTAGGACTTGTGTAACTTCAACTTTCTTCATGATCTGTAGCATATTTTTTAAAATGAAACCCATTTTCATTATATCTTTTTTTCTAGATGCTCTTCTGTTAAAATACTCCAAAAAGTCTGAGCTGTGGACAGCCCAAGAAACTGCTGTGTATTTGGGGGACTATCTGAAGGTGAAGAAGAAAGGCAAACAGAGAAATGCTTTCTGGGTTCACTATCTTCACCAAGAAGAAACGCTGGGAAGGTAATCTGCAAAACATCTGTGTAGGCTCTGTAAAATGGACTAATCTTATCTTCTCTAAGTTATCATTCCTAAGAGTCTGAAAGGGCTGGAGGAAATGGCGAAAATGTATGTTTTCAGATTTCCCTTCCTCCTCTTCATCTCTAGTTCACTAATGACAGTTACCACTTATTGAAGACTCGGGTTGTATCAGCCACCATGCTGGATTCTTTAGATAAATGATCTCAGATCCATCAGGGAGACATTCTCAACCCCATTTTACAGATAAGAAAAATGGGGGTTCTTGGCCATCTGGTAGGCCAAGAAATTTTAAGCGTTCTCACTGAAAATGCTGCCCAAAGGCTAGCTACACTATGAAAGCCATACTTTTAAGTTGATGGGCCTACGGAATGGCAGGAAATCTTCTGAGCCCGGGGATGAAGCATCCCCAGGGTACATGCGACCACTGAACTCCTAGGTACCCTCTGTGGAAGTCTGGGCAGGTGTGGTGAGGGTACAGCTAGAGACAAAAGCTCACCTGGAAGGGAGGTGCTCAGAGACCACACAGGAAAGGCAGGGGCTCGGGAATGGCTGCAGCCTCTACAGAAAGTTGATCTTAAGAAATCCAACCCCACTGAGACCAGTACGTGGAAAGTTTTCTGTTTGACCTTAGTGCTTGATGAAGACTTTAAACAAAATCTCACTAGAAAAATCAGAAGAAGACAGGAGCTGGGCATGGTGGAGCACATCTGTAATCCTAATACCCAAGAGGCTGAGCAGGAAAAGGGCTGAAAGTTCAAGGCCAGCCTGGCCTAACAATGAGTTTAAGGCCAGGCTGGATTACAGACTGAAATCCTGTCTCAAAAACAGAAGGAGAAGGGAAAGGAGTAGGAGAAGAGAAGACAATAAAGCAAGTAGAAGCAATAATTGAATAGAGCTCTGGTGATTTTCCAGAATTGTCAAAACACATTAATCTCCAAATGTAAGAAACATAATGAATTCCAAAAGGGTAAAAATGCAAATAAATAAGAAAGTGGAAGGACCGGTAATTTAGCTCAGTGGTTCTGCTCAAGTGCAAGGTCCCAAGTTCAATCCCCAGTTCCAAAAAACAGAAAAAAGAAACTGGAACAAAGGAAAGAAATCATAAACCTACTCCTAGGACATAGTAGCCAAACATCAGACTAGCAAAGATAAAGTCTTAAAGATAGGAAAAAAAAATGATTAGCTACAAAGAAATGTCCATTAGACTCACAGCTGATTTTTCAGTGGTAATAATAGTAGTCGGGAACAATGGAAGTCGTGTACTTGAAGTGAAAGTGGTAACTTCCCTTTCATGGAAGGCAAAATAAAGGCCATTACAGATTAACAGGGAGAGCTTACAGCTCACAAATCTTTACCAAAGAGAAACGATCCCAGGAGAATGGCACGAACTGAGAGAAGGACAGTTCTCTGTTCCCACACCGATGACCCACACTGGGCAGGAGGTCCTCTAGCAGGGAACCCTCAGGGAGAGCTTCAGTACCAGCCCCTCAGGGTTTGTCTTCTGAAACAAGCCTCTGGCCTTGGTCAACAAAAGCTAAACTGTGAATTGGCTCAAACCTTTTGCAGGCCTCAGGGCCACTCCATAAGAGAACTCGCCAGAAGCACTGAGATATTGCTTTTAGGACAATGGTTCCTCTGTGGGCTGCTTCCTGATGCCCTGTGGGCTTCCCCTCTGCAGTCTCCACCGTCAGATTTCCTTGCTGATCCTCAGGAGTCTGAACGGCTAAAATTAGCCTCCCCAAATTCCATTACCTGCTGGAAACAGTTTACTCTCGCTGAGGCCTATGACTCTGACAATTCACAATTCCTTCCAGGCACCTGTGAAATTATTCATAAATTCCCAGCAGCTTATAGCAGGAATAAACTACAGTAAGGCATAGTACTTACTGTTGTCCATAATCCTTTACTGATTCGTATCTTCTTCTTCAAGTGCACTGCAAGCCCTTGAAACGTACAAATCATGTCTCAACTTCCTTCAGCACACTCAGGACTAGCACATGGCTGTGCGGGTAGGAAATGAGTGTCCACAGGAGCAAAGGGCAGACAGGTACAAGGCCATGCTGCCGCCGGTGCCAGCCCAGCATTGATGCACTCCCCAGTGTACCACGCTCACCTCCCTGGCTCACCGAGAAGGCCCAGAGAGCTGCCACATGAAGTGGACACTGCTCCTTGAAGGCTGGCTAAGATGAGGTGTATGTCACTGTCCATGCATCTCTTACAAAATTATTTGAATCTTGAGCTATGTCAAGATAATACTGATGATATAAGGTAAAGAAAGCAACACTTTTCAAGTGTTTTTGCAGATCTCATTTTATCTCCTCTGGTATTAGTCAGCTTTCCCACTGCTGGGACAAAATACCCAACACCCACAACTCAAAGAGGGGAGGTTAATTCAGTCTATGGTCCCAGTATGTTCAGTACAAACTCGACTGGCTCCAAGGCAGAAAGGACCTGGTGGAGGAAGCTGTTCAACCCGTGGCAGCCAGGAAGCAGAAACCAAAGGGAGGCATGGGGGCAAGAACACACCTTTCGGGTGACACCTTGGGGACCCACCTCACCCACCTGCCGACAGCACATTCGGCAGTGTACTCTGCTGTGGGTGAAGCCACTGCTGAGCAGAGCACGCCTGTGAGCCAGCCATACCAACACACGAGACTCGAGGGTGTCTTAGACCCATGCAAGCCAGAAGGCCTCTCTCTGCCCCTCTACTGGAGGAGACAGCGCTTACGTCTTGCTTTGCGGTCTTCTCCACTCTCAGGTATATTGGGAAGGAGTACAAAGAGCGGAAGGGGCTCTGGCACCACTTTGCTGATGTGGAGAGGCAGATGACTGCCCAGCACTACGTGACCCAGTTTAACAAGAGACTCTACGAGCAGAAGATCCAGACACAGATGTTCTACATCCCATCCGCAGTGTTACTGGTAAGACCTTAGAAAGCAATCGCCTGATTAAACAGCCCATACATAACTTCTAGTGTCAGCCTGCCTCCCTCCACATTGCTCTGGTAAAACCCAAACATCTCAGGTCCCAGGCTCCCCGTTTGTTTGCTCAGCATGGTCTGCAGAGGTGCCCGAGAAACACAGCCCTCTGCCCCACGGCACACGCTGGAGTCTTCCAACTCACGTCTGGACACAGTTGGCCCTTGTGTGTGGTCCCAGGTGGTCACGCTGGCACGTTAACAGACTTTCCTTTGGTATCGCCTCTGCTCTTGCGGAGAGGAAAAGGACGTAGAGGTGCAGCCTGTGCAAACTGTCGTCCCAGCGCTGTACGGAAATCCCGGTCCACGCCTGTCAGTCCCCACTCCTTGCAACCACGTGATGCCTCGCTGTGCCTTCCACACAGCCAGTGAGAATAAATCATCAGCACTCTGCTTTCGAGGGTTTCTAGTCGATGGGACGTTCTTAGCTTCAGCCCACATCTGCCTTCCTCTGTTTCCTACCCGTGGGCCACAGCTCTGCCTTCTAGGACCCTTGAGACGGGTCTCTCCTCACTAAATGTCCCTTTCCTCAGTTTTCCCTTCCTTGGATCAAGAATACCCTACTTCTCCGAATATATTAGTGCTTTTCCCATTGGCCATACACATTTCTGACGTAGTTTTATCATTCGTAGTAACAATAACTGTCATACAGTTTGCACTTCCTTCGTGTCAGCATTGCTGAGCAGTTCACAGACACTAACTCTACCTGCTGAAGCAACTCCGCCGAGTACATCACAGAGCTGCGCCAGCTGGAGTTCCAGCCCGGAGCCTGGGGTGTGCTCTGCCCACAGGCCCTGGCACGGGAACCTGGGCAGTCACTCCAGGGCCCACGCTTCAGAGGGACCGTTCGGTAGACGAACAATAATAACTCCAAGTTCTGTTTTATGCCACACACAACACTGAGCACTGCCCTGGCATTTTCTCCTATCACCCTTCTAACAGACCTAAATATTGCTATTATTAACACTGTGCCCACAGTAGAGGCCAGGAGGTTAGAACATAGAGGAGAGGAGCGAGGTTCCTATGCGAGGGAGCCTCCGAGACCCACCCAACCCAGAGGCCGTGACCTAACCGTTGTGCTATCCTGCCTCCCGTTCTATTTTTCAGATTTTAGAAGGCAGCACAATAAAGGGATGCATCAGTGTGGAACCTTACATCCTGGGAGAATTTGTAAAGTTATCAAATAACACAAAAGTGGTGAAAACAGAATACAAAGCCACGGAATATGGCTTGGCTTATGGCCATTTTTCTTATGAGTTTTCTAACCATAGAGATGTTGTGGTTGATTTACAAGGTGTGTGAAAGTAGGAATTATTTTTTATTTTGAATATTACTTATATGTAAATGTAAATTCTCATAACTGGCTTCATTAATCATTATTTAATAGATGTTTCAGTGTATAGACCACTATCTGCAGTTGATTCACTTTATTATATAAGGAGTCATCGAAATATATAGCAAACATTTAAATTTTTAAAAACTCATTACAATTAAAGACGTATTGCCATGAATCTCCCACTCAGTTGGGTCACACTCATCCCACTGTTCTTACCACTTTCTGAAGCAGCTCTAAAAGTCCTCTTTAGTGTCTTTATGAGGTGTGATCAAAACTGAATCCTGCTGCCAAGTACCAGCCAGCTCATAAAAACATGACACCGTATTGCTAGGGGTTTAGCTCAGTGGTGCCACCGCCAGCCTCAAAAGCACAAGGTCTTGAGTTCAATCCCTGGTACACAAACAAACAAAACAAAACAAAGAAAACCATGACACCACGCCCTCACCCACCTTGGTCACTGGATCTGGCACTGTGCGACCTCTGGCTCTTCCCCACAGTCAGAATGACCATGAACGCCAAACACTTTTCATCCACACAGGACATCAAGGCAGCCAGGGCAGCACCAAAGACACTCACCAAAGAGGAGTTCAAGAGCTGCTTCAGAAAGTGGCAAGAATGGTAGAATAAGTTTGTTCAAAGAAGGGGGGAATTTTCATGGCGATTAATGGCGATGTGTCTTTTACTATAATAAACTTTTAATTTAAAATTTCCCTATATTTTTGTAACACATTTCATATATAACAAATGATTCCTAAAACTTCTATAAGTTTCTAAGGTGTCATATAATCAGTTAGAAATTCTGCCTCATATTCTGTTGGGCTTAATTCTAGAGCAAATACACAATAAATATTTTTTTCTTCACCAAGTGGGTTTGAGTAATATAACTTTCCTATTGGATGTTTTCCATGGGACAAAATCTCCTTTACACATTTTCTTTTCTCCAGCCCTTTACAGTTATTAAAAGTATGGCCAGGCATGGTAGAGCACACCTGTAATCCCAGCACTCCAGAGGCTGAGGCAGGAGGATTGCCACATGTGCAAGGCCAGTCTGGGCTATGTAATGAGATTAAGGCCAGCCTGAACCACATAGCAAGACCCTGTCTCAAAAAAACAATAAACAAAAAGACATGATACTAGATTTCAAATGGAATCATAAATAGACAGCTGTGTCTACTTAAGTCTGACTTCATAAAAATTATCTATTAATATTTTAATTTTATTTCAGTTTGGCTGGTGTTCAGAATTCTTATCAGCAAATATTCTACACTTCATACAAATGATATGTGTGTGTGTGTGTGTGTGTGTGTGTGTATTTTTTGGGGGGTGGGTTCCGTGGATCAAACTCAGGACCTTACATTTGCCAGGCAGACATGGCACCACTGAGCTACATCCCTGGCCCTATATTTATTATTTTTATAATGATTCCATGACTACTTGAAGACCTACCCCGTCTTTCACTCCGTCACAGGACCCATTTCATTTATTCACAGTCTGTTGGCCCTCTCCCTCATGACTGTGCGCTCAATGAGTGCTCCTTGCCGTGGCCTAGTGCTTGAGGTGGTGCCAGCGCTGTGCCCCCACTCAGTAAGTATCTGCTAAATAAACAAGGAATATATACAGCAGTGCATCAGGTACTAGCTAAGCTTCTAAACTGTGAAAGAAATATATAAAACTGTGATTTTAATAGTTACTGTACATGCTCTTTATTGCTCTCTTATTTCTTGAAAATTGGTAATCTGGATATGTCATATTTGATAAATGCAATTGCCCAATGTTCAGTTCTCCTTTTTAAACCAATAGCGTAAGTATGCAACCCAGGCCAAATTCCTTAGCAGAAGCTTACTAAAAATAAACCACAAGATGACCGAGTTTTGGGCTGGGAATGCATCTCAGTGGCACTGCATCTGGCTGGCAAGCACGAGGTCCTGAGTTTGATTCCTGGTACAAAAAATAAAAATGGCCAAATTTCTGAAGTACACCTTCAGTCTTTGAGGCCGTGTGTGTGTGTGTGTGTGTGTGTGTGTGTACGCGTGTTTTCTAGAGATGCATGATTGGCATTGGCAAAGGATTAAATTCTGAGCTGTTTCCATTTTTCTTGTAGGTTGGGTGACTGGGAATGGAAAGGGGCTCATCTACCTCACAGATCCTCAGATTCACTCTGTTGATCACAAAGCTGTCACTGCCAATTTTGGAAAGAGAGGAATTTTTTACTTCTTTAATGACCAGCATGTGAAATGTAATGAAATATGCCATCGTCTTTCTTTGACTAGACCTTCAGTAGAGAAACCAAGTTAGCCGTGGACTGTGGATTGATTATATGACCACCTCTCTCTCTGCTCACTGGGATCAAGTTTGTGCCTTCCAGGGACATACGAGCTGGCGGTGTGGTCCTGCAGGGCTTGGCCAGGCCATGGCTTGAGCCGGCCGTGAGCGGGTGAGAAGACCACCTTCAGGCCTGTGTTTGGCTGGCAGTACAAGATGGTGTGCTTCGCTTCCCCTCTGACACAGGGACCAAGGGTGTGTCATGAGGTAGCGGCTAATGGGCATCAGTCCTGCAGGAAAGACAAGATGGAAAACAGCACCGCTGACCCACAACAGATCCAAAGCACAGCTGAAAAATAAACTTTTGTCTAGGCCATTGAGGTGTTGGAGCTTTTGGTCATTATCTGTCAAGACTGACACTATCGCAGCTTTTTCCCATTGATTTAACTGTTCTTCACGTATTAAAGAATTCAGGGGTTTGTGATACGAATTCCATTTTTTTGTGTGTGTTTTGACATTTAGCTTTACATAAAGCTTTTATCAATGCTGAATGTTTTATGTAGTTGCATCATCAATCTTTTCTTACATGGCTCCTTCTCTTCAACTCTCACATGAGTTCTTGCAGAGAAGTCATGCCTGTGGAGGCTGTGGGAGAAGACAAGCACCCATTCATAGCCACCACAGCCCACCCCTTTGTACCACACAGATTCGCTTCCTCACACGGCTCTAGGAAGCGGTTTTTTTGAGGTCTTGCAGAGACAGGTACAGAAGAGATGTGGGTGAGATGAAGTGATTCTGCCTCCACAGTTCCTCTCTGGGGCCAGAGCTGGTGCTCACTAAATTCATCCTAAATTTCCCACAGCCTTAACTCTGACTTCAAGAGGTCTGGACGGCTTAGCAGGTGATGGAACTCGAACTTATGTAGATGAAAGGTCTGAATCCATGCAATCCCCTCTCAGGCTGGGGTTGCTGCCCCCTGCTCTTCACAAGTGTAGCTGGGGCAAGGAGACCCACTCGGAGGTCCCGCGATGGGAATCAAGTGACTGTCACCGCCAGCCCCTCCTCTCTGGACCCACCAGTGTGCTCAGGGGGAAGTCGCGTCTCCCCGCCGTGTTCTCGGCCCACGACTAAGCTCAGGAAGGAGCTGGTCCCAGAATACTCGGACCAGCACGAAACCAGAACATTCCTGAAGTTGTGCTGCCATGTGGGGTCCCAGCCCATTCACCGTCTCCTTTTGTAGCTGTCACAGTGGTAGCAGATCTCCCTGCCTGCTTTACTCTCCTGCACTGATTCTCTACAGTCAACTCCAACAACACATACCTTTCATGTCTAATCTTTCCTGGTGCCCACTTCTTGAAGAACCCAACTAATGTAAGACTTTGTTTGTTTGTTTGTCTGTTTGTTTGTTTCTGTACCAGGGATCAAACTCGGGGCCCTTGAACTTGCAAGGCAGGCAGCGGAACCACTGAGCCAAATCCCTGGCCCTACAATGGAAAAAAACAATCTCAGCAGATACAGAAAAGTAATTTAATAAAACTCAAAATCAATTCCTGGTTTTAAAAAGCTCTGAAAATTAGACATAAAAGAAAACTATCTGAACCTGATAAAAGGCTTTTAACTTTTAGAAAAACAGCAATATTATAGTTTATAGCAGAGTAATTAAACTTTACATCTAGAAGTGGAACAAGATAAATTTACCCACTATCCAAATATTCAACATTACAGAATTCTAGCTGATAAACATAGACCAAGTAGAACTAGGAAATCACAACTTTGGATCTTTAATGAAATCAATGATTTGGGAAAAAATTATTAATAGCTAGTGATACTTGAACAGGATCTTTATCATGGAAAAATCCAGCTAACAATCAATATACACCACAATCGGTATTCCTTTTTTTTCTCTCCCTAAGGCTCACCACTCCCTTCTCACAGCTGACACAGTTCGTGTGTGTCCACCCTGCCCTCCCACCACACTGTGGCCTCTTCCTAGTCACCTAGCGATGGCCTTGCACCAACCAGAACAATCACACCCAGTGGTTCCACGTCCTCGAAGCCACTCCTTAGCCAGCACCTTCTTCAAGAAACCTTCCCTGAGCCTTATCCCCGCCCCCCCCCACAACCTAGGTGTGGTCCCCAAATAACGGCCTGGCTGTCCCTCCCACTTGACATGGAGCCCGTAGCTACTTTGTCCTCTCAGCTATAGTGCAGGTGAGTAATAATTGTCCTTTATGTTATTTATGTATTGCTGCATCCGAAACTACTCCCAAAGCACGGAGGTTTAAAGTAACACTTATTCTGAGCAGACCAGAAATGGTGGTCCTGGGCTGGGCCCTTGTCTCTCAGTCTGGGGAGGCTGCAGGCAGGCTGTCCTCTGTAGCCTTGACTGGAGCAGGGGACCTGCTTCCGCCTCCTCATGTCCCTTGCTGGCTGAGGTCAGGGCCGCAGTTCCCCCTCACAGGGCCTGTGTGGACAACTGACAACTGGCTTCAACCAAGGTCAAAACTCCAAAGGAGCCAGAAGCCGAGCCACAGGGTGTTTGCATCCTGGCCTGCAGAGTAACAGCTCGAATGAGTGCTCTCTAATTCACATAGACCCGTCTGAGGCAGTGTCGGGACAGCAGAGGGTCACTGAGGCCATGAGTGACCCTGTGTGGCTCACCAGCCTGCACGGCCCTGGTCTCCCACCCACCACCCCCGGCACATGCGGGCTATGGTGTCCACTTCACAGTGGAGCCGTCCTTCACTTTCACTTAAACAAGTGAACGTAGCACCATGAACGTGGAGGCAGTGGTGAGAACCGTGTGTGTGTCCGATGCTTGGTGGGTGCTTGTTCCCTTACACCCTGACTCATCGAGTCTTCTGCTAAAGGTGCGAGGCCATGAGGGAAGAAGGTGAGTTTCTGGGCTTCCAAAGCCCACTCTGCAACCAGGTGAAGGGTGGGCAGATCCGCACAGGCACAGGAAGACGGGAAGCTACAAGAACAGAATGTTCTGTCTCACCCCTAATGTGTAGACTCATATTGCTTCCTCAGATTAAATTTTTCTAATTTCCTCCTCTATTCCTTTTGCGTGTGTGGTGCTGGAGAGCCACATACCCAGCCCTCCTCTATTGTTTAATAAGCATTTCTCATAGCAAAAGGGATACTGAGAAATTTTCATGCAGAAAATGTCCATTGTCACTTTCCACGTGGAACGAAAGCATTAGCACTTATTTTCATCTTCTGCTCGTGGCGTGTGTAGAGTATGAAGTGACAATATTTAAAAGCCAAGTTTCAGGAGCTGAGTCCAACATGAGGAGCCTTAATCTCCATCCCTTGGGAGAGCAGAAATGTCAGGCTTTGGTGACCATCTCTGTCAGCAGTATTGTCTTGAAGGTAAGGTTTGTTCTCAGCAGTTTGGGTCTGTAATGTCCTCTGCCTGCAGTTTGCAGAAACTAGGTGTCATGTGGGAAAAGCAAAAGAGAGTGGAGAAAAACTAAATCTCTTTAGTATGGTGCGTAAACCTTCAGTGTGCAGGAGCCCTGCAGCTGCACAAGGAGAAAACCCATTGAAAACTATAATGGGAGTGTGAATAATCCTGTCTCCAGCAAGCTCCAGCTTTGTCAGGTGAACTTGAACATCAGATTTGTGCCGTCCCCACTGCACACCCCGTCTATCACCCCAGGGCATTCACCATCCTGACTGTTGTTTAAAGAGAACAAGCCATCCATCATGCAGCCAGGGAGTCCCTTTCTCTTAGAAAAGTCAAATCAGCATGCGACACTACTCAGCCCCAGTGCTTTGCAGATTAAAATGATACACGACTGCTCACGTGTTCCTAGGAAGATTAAGTCGGTTATCTTGTTCCGCTGCCCAGACAAAAGAATTCCCCTCCAGCAGTTAAGTGGGAGTTTTGCAGGAGCTCAAAACGCTGCGCTCAACCTCACGAGGGTAAGACAGAGAATTTAATGAAGGAACAAAAAAGACAATGTTACTTTACACAGAAGCCCATTTTCCCTCCCTGTGTGAGTTGTACAAAGCACTGTCCATCCCCAAAGGGAAGCTGAGTCTTTGTGCGGTCTCTGCTGTCTGAGATGCCAACTTTATTACCGGAGATGGTCACACGATTTATTGTCTCACTGCCTGGGCAATTGATTTAAATATGGTGAAATAAATGCGCAGCCGTTGGCCCTGGGGCGGCTTGGTCCAGGAGGTTGCAAAGCCTGCGGCTACAGTGTCCGTTATTAACACTGTTATTCCACTGTGGGATCTGCTCAGTAGTAAAACCCAAAATGAGTCTCACAGAAACGCTCTCATAGCCAGCCCTGACTCCACAAACCAGAGGGCAAACATTTATCATATGACAGGAGATATTTTTATAGAGTTGGATCTGTGACTATGTTGCACTTGTATTGAAAGGTAATTTTTAAAGAAGACAAAAATAAGTCTTGAGGCCTTCCTTTTAGACTAAGTGTATTAGCTAAAATCTGCATGAGAAAAATCCGTTGTTCTCTAAGTATTTTTTTAAACAAAAGAGGATTTTAAAGCCTGGTCTGTGTTTTGCATTTACACATTACCAGGAAATGACACAGGCCATGCATTTTAGGCAACACTGAGAAATTTCATTATTTACATTTTACCCATACACTGCCGTGCCACGTTCTTTTTAAAGAACACACACCATTTTTTTTAGTCATAAGGATTTCACATAAAAAAAAAATTCCCTTTTGTAACTTGTACCTAAATTTTCAAACATTATTTCTGTCCGCTGGCTGAGAGCACTGTAAGAATAAGGGGGAAGTAGAGCATGGGTTTCCTCTGCTAGGGACAGGCACAGCTTTAATCTCTTCCTACACAATCACCGAAGGAGAGGGACTAACTGCTGCGACACTGTTGGGCATTTGACGTGGTCTTATCCGAGTAGCAGAAGGACCCGCAGCGACTGCCTTGCAGGGCCGCGCCCCGGACTTCAGCAGTGAAATCCTGGCCCAGCGAGCACCCGGGTCCTGTGCGGCGTCCTCTGGGCTGGGCCACCTGCGTGGGGAGGACGGAGGAGCCCGAAGATGCGGTCCGCCTCGGGGGACACCAGAGTCCGCCCTCGGGGCTCCCTCTCCGGCTCCCCCAGTGCCTCCAGACCGGCCGGGAGCCTCCTGGGCCTGTAGGACGCTGCACTGCTCACTGCAGAGGCGGCGAGAAGGCGCCCGGTGGTGAGGATCCAGGTCTTAAACTCTAGGTCAACACTTGTTTAGTGGCTGCGAGGTAGGCAGACAGCCCCAGACCGCCCAACATGTCAAGAGGCCGGCCGCTGCCACCAGTTAAAATTAGGTTAAAACAGCTCAGGACTGGGCCGCAACATGGCGCCTGGCTGGCAAGTTCGAGGTCCTGAGTTCGATTCCCGGTACCAAAACAAAAACAAAATTAATGAGAATATAGAATGACAGAATTTTAAAGAAAAAAATTAAAACATAGCACAGGGTGAACTAAATTCATTAGTCCCTTGGTATGTTTTAACCTTTTTACACTAAGTGGACCTTAAAACATATTTGGGGAAAGTTAATGTCTCAAGAAATTATTAGTAGTAGCCACGCATGGTGGTGCTCACCTATAATCCTAGCACTCCAGAGGCTGAGGCAGGAGGATCACCATGAGTTCAAGGCCAGCCTGGGCTGCACAGTGAATTCAAAGCCAGGCTGAACTACACAGCAAGATGCTGTTTAAAAAAAATTAAAAAA